GGGGGGGGGGGGATGTTATTCCCGGGTATCCGTATCCGGGTAGACCAGGATGAAGAGAGCCAAGTCGAGAGGAGGGGAAGCGAAAAAAAACACTGCAATGCGATGGAGCGAAGGGTTAAAAGAAATGTGTCATAAATTTGTAGAAATAAAAATTTAGAAAAATGAGAAGGAAAGGAAAGCAAGAGGGCAGAGAAAATAATACAAATCTGAGTGTGAAATAACAAAAAAAAGTGTATTTGTACTGAAGGGAGTGTGACCTGTTTACTCAGTGTTATTTAATATTTAAACGCATCTCATACGACACTCATTGAAGATGCTGAAAGCGCCCAATAAAAGATGCTCTGCTTAAGAAACAATGACGCTGATGATAATTATGCTCACAGACACAATCATGCAGCACAGTGTGCGAGAGGCCGAGAGGCCGAGCGGTTTCACTACGTGGTCAAACTGAGAAATCCGGTGTTTCTGTTGAAACCCGAATTTGGAGACAAGAGAACAAAAAAAAAAAAAAAAAGACTCATGTGAGACCTTTACAGCAACAGAGTCATCTCGGTGCTCTCTATAAAAAGGACACCGTGCACACTTTTGAAGGAAGTTGACGTTCAACAATGTTACAAAAGCAAAATATTTTCTAAATAAAATCCTATAATAAGGGTTGTTAATTTTCAAAAATAACACAAAACAGGAGTAGAAGTGGCTAAATAATAAAATATATTCGACCTGAAAACACTTCACTCACTGCTTAAATAATTTACAGGAAACCCTCCGATTATCATCATGTTGACTAAAACACCCAAAGATGGATTAAAGAGGAGCCAATAATAACCAAATATTGCAAATATTGGTGTGTACACACATGAGGTTCCCCCCCCCCCACACACACACACGCACACACACACGCACACACACAGCTGCTATTCTCTAATTGCGAATATTCTGTGTTAATTTGTACCGCCTACATCGGTGTGATGTTTGCTTTGTTGCCATGGCAACAGACATTTGGGCGCTCACACATCATATCCGGTTCTCAATGATTGACGCTCGGTGACTCTGTCTCACACACACACACACACACACACACACACACACCCCATTAAAAAAAAGAACCGGCCTCATCCTTCACCTTGCCACTGATCCCTGAACAGTTTAGATTTTACAGGAAGTTACAGTTACGTTTGATTTACTGACTAATTAACACGTTGTAGTTTGGAAAGCACACACAGACACACACACACAGAGAGAGACAACGTCCGCAGCTTTGTCTTAAAAGTGTGTGACAGTGTTAGATAAGGAGCTCAACTGAGCCGAGGGGGATTGATGCCTAAATTTAGTGTCAATAACAAAAACACAGAATATAAATGTGTGTGTGTGCAGGATTACAACGTATGTAACACAGACAAGAGAGGAGGAACTCACTGACTATCTAAGAATTGTTTGACATTGATTAAACTGCCCCCTTCGTCTTAAGTAGTGTGGTCTATTTTCCTTCTTACACATTAAATCAACACTTTTTATACGATTGTTAAACTATTAGAACTGTATTGGTTTGCTTAACATGTTGTCCTTTTATTTCATTCACTCCTGATGAAATGAAAGTTCCTGCCTGACCACAGGAACATAGTACTGAACATTTAGTTTGCCTATTTGATTTATTCTTCCATTTCATTAAAAGGCCTGGTGTATGCTATCCCTGACTAGGTGTAATGTGCCATCATTGATAACTCATGGAGGATCATTTAAAACACTCTGGGCTTCATTGCTTTCTCCCTCACATGAACATAATTCTGACCAACATCAAATGTGGGTAGTTTTTGACATAAATATGATAACATTGACACCGATCTGCTATGCATTACCATTACACAAATATAAACGTATTTAATACGATAATATAATCCAAGATCAAGAAGTGTCAGCACTATTCCTCCGGAGGGTTTTTACTGTAATTACTTTTGTTTTTGTGAAACAATTCCTAATGATTTCAGGGAATAACAATTGGCAAGATTTGTATAATAATATATTAATAATTAAGATAATTTGAAAAACACAAAATTAACCTTTTTAAAAGAAAATGTAGTGTTTACCATTTGCTCATATTTCACAAGCTGTTGAGACGACACCAACACCTACACAAAGTGGCACGTCACAAACACAACACACGTGTGATCGCACGCACACACACACACACACACACACACACAGTGTGTTTCCTACTTTCCCTTGCGCTTCACACTCTCCTACGACCATATGCAAAAGCTCACACACCCTTTCCAACTCCCACATGTGCTCCTCGCTCAACGATCTTCAACATAAATGCACACGCAAACAGGCAAGCGTGCACGCACACACACACACACACACACACACACACACACACACACACACACAC